GAGGAGGAGGAGGAGGAGGAGGAGGAGGAGGAGGAGGAGGAGGAGGCTGGAAATCATACCAAAACTCCAGGGGCGCATATGGTCTCCACTTTCTCCTCTTAAGCAGTGTCTGTTGACAATATTTGCTACACAGTCTAGTTTGTACTGCAAACCACCAGGTATAGAATGACCAAGTCTGTGTCTTGAATAAGGTCACATTACTGAGGCCTGTGCATTTTGCATTAGTTTATCTGATAGTGGCTTTTTTTTTTTAACTGAAGTGAGCAATACTTTTTTGGGAAGTGGGAGTCTGCAACTCCCTGAAGACTTGATCAAGTAAGTATAAAGACAGAAAAAACTCAAGTATTGTGCTAAACTACCAAAGGCTACAGTTATCTCTGTGTCCTGTACTCGTTGTTAAGACATAAAAGTCAGCCATGTTCTACCTAAGTAATTCAAAATACTCTTTAAATGGATTATTTTTTTAAGTTGAAAAGACCTAGTTCATTGCATTTAAAAATGAATACTTGGATAAAGCTTTGCTGTTTAATCTTTTTTTTTTTAGCAGAAAGACTAACCTTTTCTGTAGAAAGAAAAGGTGGAATAAGCCCTCCTACAAGCCTATTACTAAATGTTTTCTTAATTCACTATCAAAGGGAGCAGCATCCTCTTTCTATTTTTGAACAGTGGGAATAGATCAGGCAAAGAATATGAAGCATCAGTTTTGCTGCCTGAATGTATCAGCACCAACCATTCCCGGACAGCACTCTAAGTGATTTGAAGCTGTTGCTCGGTTCATTTCCTTAACAACATAAAACATAAGTAAGCGTATGATTATTTTGTTTTTATGCTAAGAATCTTGGGGTGCTTTGTCCTGACTTAGCAAAAGACATGCTGTCAAATTTACCAAATTCCGAGTTTAAAATATATTTCGAATTAGCAAAACTAAAATAAAGTTTTCAGTTGCTGTGCGTCCAAATTCAATTCCAGGTGCTCCCACCAAAACTTTTATCATTTAAGCAGAACTGAAAACCTTTGCTAATCTTTTGCAAATCACTCAAATCTCCCAGTCTATCACAATTTATCTTCTGCTGCTCCAACACAATAATTCAAAACAATAGATGTGAAAGAGATTCATGTTACTGTTGTAACTCTTAATTATTTGCTCAAGACATGCAGTCATATTATTTCAACATAAGGTGTTTGTGTATTATTTTCATTGACAGTGCTGTTTTGAACTCAGAAGAAAATAGAATCCTCAGTACAATAACATTCATTTCAATGTTTTTTATCTTCTGTTTTTCTACCATATTCTACCTTATGGTTTATAAAAGTTTATTATGGCTTATAAAACTGCAACAATGAAAATTTACTTATACCAAAGATGAAGATATAAAGGAACAATATAGCCCATATCAATTGGAAATCAGTAAAAAGTTATTTGGCAATAAAACATGGTTAACCAAAAGTTTTGATGCCAAAGATGATTAAAATAGATCTGAGCTTGATGCCTTCCAGATATTTTCAATTCCTACAATCCATTGATAGAAATGTTCTGTGGGCACCAAGTTACCCGAGGCAGATGGATCTTTTGCACCTATTTCACTTGATTTTCTAATCAATCATTATTTTTATATTTGTTCTCTGGTGGACTTTTAAGAAGCATTCCAGTTATTTGAGTACAGAGGGAATAGGGAAAAGCCTTGAAGGGCAGGAGGAAAATTGGGGCTTGAGCCCGTTGCAAGAAACTAATTTAATTAAATGCATCAGTCAGGCCCCTCCCCAGTTCAGATGAAGGTAAGTGAGGGAGAGATGGAAGGAAGCACATTCAAACTTGCAAGATTCTGTAATTGTAGCTGCTATAATAAGCTTTATTTCATGGTATCTATATGATGATGTATTCAGATTAAGGAGAATCTCAAACTCAAGTTTTTAGCAAAATATGGGCATTTTCTCATTGACATCATATCCAAATGTTGCACTTGCTGTCTGTATTTTAATTTTACTCTGGAACCTTTGACCTTTTTCTCTTTTCTAGAATTTTATTTTAAATGCAGGGGTCTTTTAAAAAACCACAATTCAGAGTGGTATGCACTGAATCTTTGAGTAACCAGATATTGCTTGCATGAACAATGGCTTACATTCCAGTCATTCATAATGCATGAGGGTATCCAAAGGTTTACTTAGCTCAACATTGACAGCAATGGAATGTGACTGCACTCTGTTCTTTTAGTAGTCATCATTATTCTTCACTTTTGGCTAAGAGAGAACAACTTATCCTTCTGACTTGATGGCAGGAATCTTAATTGCTCATTCCAAGGTTTCCTAACCCTTTTATCCTCTACCATTTCTCTTGTGTTTTAGGCAGGGTGTGAATTGAAAGGGAAAGATTTTATTCCTGAAATGAACAGCATCTCTTAGGTCTCTGGAAGAGGGGCATCAGCATTTCTGATCACATCTTTCTTTGTAGCAGAAGAAACTGCCTTTTCTCAGTACTATTAACTGTTATCTCTACTACAGTAGAAGATTTAGAAAACTGAGGTGAAGACTCTAACTAAACTGTTGGGAACGCAAGACATTTTGTGGACAGAATATTGCACCAATACAGATCATTCCTTAGGAACCCAATTAACATATTTTGCAGACTTTCCTATAAAGGTTTCTATTTGTTGTTTGTTTGTTTGTTTTAGTCACAACAGCAATCTACAATTGTTTCTGATTGAGAGTTCTGTATTTATTTTTATGCCTTATGCCACATAGATAGTGTATTATTGATCTTTTAAAAATTTCAGTGTAGGATGGCTTAACACCAATATATTAACAGTACAGAAGATGCACTCTTTAAACATTAATTAGAATCATTTTAAATACTTTCAGAAAGCATTTTGCAGACCTTTCAAGGGAATCATAAGTAATTATGACAACCATTGGGAGACAGATTACTAAATGTTGTCTCACCAGAATATTCAGACTTGTCTTGCTGAAAAATTACTGAAGGAAGATACCAAAAGAAAGCTATCCATGACTTAATGCTAATATATAATGAATGTTTAGTTAATGAAAGAGAAGTAACAGAAATGTTGTACTGGAGACAACTGACTGTAATAATAATAAAGTGTCTGAATTTAAGAAGAACTAAAATTTAACAGATACATAGCTTGGACTGGAAGTAGATTTTAATAAATACAGAATAATGCTAAGTAGGATTCCATGACAAGAAAAAACTAGTGGGGAAAAGAACTATAAGGATTAGAAATTCCTAAGAAAGGAGGCCTAAAGGTGCTTTCAAGAGGCAAGTGGACTTCCTTGTTTTTTAAAGATTTTTTGCTTCTCATCCAAGAAGCTTCTTCAGCTCTGAAGAATATCTTCAAAGAAAAACAAGAAAGTCCAGTTGCCTCTTGAAAAAGCACTTTTGGAACAACAACTATGACCTGGATGACTGAGAATCTCTATAGACACAAAAAATGAAGAACTATACTAAGTAATTCTTATGCAGAAAAATATCAAAAAAACAGAAAAGTATCAAAAGTTATGTGGTTGACCAAAGAGTTTAGTGATGATCTGAAATTTAAAAATAAGGGTGTCTTCAAGGAAGATTATACAAAAGTTGGAACTATAAATGTTAAAATTCAAAATTACCTAAACTAGATAAAGGATGCTCAGATAAGAACAAGGGCTTTTTCAGATATGTTCAGAAAGAAAAAGAATCTGTTTAGTAAAAATGTCAATTTGCTAGCCTAGCAAGTAATACGGAAAAGGATAAGTATCCCTATTCCTTTTTTCATTCAGTCTTCTCCAAAAATGGGCATGTATTC